GGTGTGGGCCACACAGGGATCGAGGCTCGAGTCCCGTGCGAGGCTGGTAAAGTCACGGTTCATGGTAAACGTTGGTCCATACGTAGATGTGTATTTTGTAATGTCACATGCAGACATATAGGGGGCGCTCCTTTTACGACCCACACCTGTTAGTTAACCTACTAATTACCAAACATTCCAGAACGTTACTGTTATGACCTTTTTCAGTTTCATGACCGTGAGTCTGATCAAGCCAACGTTAATGGTGATTATTGATAAGATGGTAACCATGAAGAACTCAGTGTGACCTCAGTTTGATGTTTTCATTAGAAATAACATGTTGTTAAGGTCGAGTTCTGGGAACGTCTATCTTCATTATCGTGGAAAAGTTCTTAGAAGAGACTGGAGGTCATTTCATAAAGGAACAATCTTTTAAACACAACATTCTTCTACCAGGCCTACAGGGTGACGGTGATGTCACCTCAGACTGTCTCCTACTGCCATTCACTGGGGCAGAAACTAAGACTCAGGTCCAGTTGTTGTTGAAGACCTCTATCTTGTTTTGTCTTTCACTCTTGTGGTGGACACGGTCACACGGTGGACAGCTGGGGTGGATAAGACCTGAGTTAAGGACAATGTCCCACAAACATGTCAACCAACAGCAGCCTGGTTCTTTTTCTTTCTATTTAAAGCTAACGTGCAGAAAATGCTAACACAGCCGTAGCGGTGGTTAGCCATGTCTGGTCCATGTAGGGCTGTTAGCATTGTTAGCTGGTTGTTGATGCCTTTGTGCCTGCGCGTGCTGCTCATAACTTATAAGGCGGTGTGTTGGCCACGTCAGGTAGCATGTCACGTAATGATTGTCTGAAAATAATTTTGTAAAAACAACGCTCTGAATCCTGGACAGTTTGAAATCATCACCTGACCAGACTGAAGACTGAACACAGAGCAGGAACAATCAAAGCAGACTTGACTGTAACCTGGGTTAATGCCCGTCACATGACACGAGGAAGTCACCTGTTAAGACAGAGCAACATCAGTGAGTGGTTGGAGATTCCACTGACTTTTAGCCTCACAGCTAATCCTCCTGGGTTGTCACGCTACTGTCAGCTTTGTGCTGCTGAGAAATCCCACTCATGATCACATGAGCTTCCAGGATCACGAGTGAGAACTGCATCTCCAGGAACATTTGCCAACTTTCATTACAATCGTCATTTAGTCAAAGACCTTAATACCAGGGACGTCTCTGTTTGTCCTCTCCTTCATACAGTAAGCCGATTACAAAGGGCTGTTATGTCTTTGATGATTAGTCACGTGTGTTGGCCAGAAGCTGGCGATACGATTTGTATCACGATTCAGGGGCAGCGATACGATATGTTGCGATGTACTGCGATACTATCGGCGTAACGATATATTGAGTTCTGTAGAATATCGATCTGATATTGATTGATCTGATGTTGATTGATCTGATCTGATATTGATTGATCTGATATTGATTGATCTGATGTTGATTGATCTGATCTGATATTGATTGATCTGATATTGATTGATCTGATGTTGATTGATCTGATCTGATGTTGATTGATCTGATATTGATCTGATCTGATATTGATTGATCTGATATTGATTGATCTGAT